CCACCCTCTTTTGCCCATTCCTCAGCTGTGCCAAAGGAAATCATCCATGAAAATGTTTTGACCCTCTATAATTGCTGCTTCCCGCATGTTTCCCATCTCCTTGACGCCAGAGCCACGTTTCTGCTCAACTGATGGCGGAGAGAGATGGGCTTAGACACACAAACACATTTGTACTGCATGCACACACCCAGCCACCCACACCCATGGTCAATTCATGCAAATGCATGAGGGGCACAGATATAAGACACAAACAGGAACACAGATTTTCTCATAAAATATAGTATGTATGAAGGTAGTGAGCAAAATAACATCAACTCCTTTAATGCCTCAGCCTTGCAGTGAAGTGTCTTGGGATTGTGTCATTCAAGTTTAGATTCAGGCCAATTTCCGAGCATAATTTGTGTTCTTAGACTCTAAGGTGCACCTATTATTCCATTGAACCCATGAAGGTTTGTAAATGTTTGTAAAACCAATTATTTTGTATCTATATATATACTCATGTAAAATATAAACCAATACCATTGAGTGTAGAAGACTTTTGGTTTTGGTTTTTAAAACCATTTCAAATCCCATTTGGTGAAATGTGTTGTCTTCTAAGGCTAAATGTCTTGTCTAAATATTCTCTCTGTTTGCTTTGTTTTATTTCCTAGGTCATAGCTATCTCACTAATTTTAGTTTTAATGAAATCACTGGCAACAGTCTATGACACACAGCCATGTTTTGGTCTCAAAATTATGTGTGAAAACCATATTTCTGTGGTGAGTTTAATTATGTCAATCTTTATTGATTAAACAATTTATTAAGTCTATGTTGTAATTGCTTAGATCAATGATTGAGGTGGGGAGTTGATGTCAGTATAATCCTTGACATCAGACAACTGTTAAACACATGTGTACGCTGAAGAAAGCAGAGCCTAGAACATCCATGTGGACAATAAACTGCTGCTAATGATTAAATAGAAAGAAAAAGTGTACTTTTAATAAGGTTCTCACACTATGACAGAGTACTAGGACCCACCTAATTGAAAAAAAATTCGGAGAATATAAGAATAAAGTTCTAATTTTACAATAATAAAGTCATAGTTTTTGGCTAAATGGCATTTTGGAAGGGGAATATCAGAAGAGCAGCCAGTCACCTGCATTAAAATGAGGATTGTGGAACATCTTGTTATGTTATACTTCAGTATAGGTCTCACAAAGAAAAAAATACTTCATGTTTTGGTACATCAGCCCCATATTATCATAAGTATCACCACTTTCAAAATTTTGTTAGAAACTGTCCACTCTGAGGAGAGAACCTAACGCATGCATCTAGAGGAAATGTTTGGTCGTGGTCATATGTAGGGCTGTTGTTGGTTCCATCTGTATGATATTGGGTTTCATAGTTTTTCTGGAACAATGAGATTTTGGATCAGCCATGTGACTGAAAATGTGCACAAACAAAGCACATCTTTATTAAAGCTCCATGCATGAATGTGTCCATATGAATATGTGTCTGTGTGTACACACCTTCACATGCTGCCAACAACAGGCTGACCTAATACAGACTCATTCATTTTGGTGGAATCTCAGCGCTAATCCAACCTGAAGCAGCAACAAATGACTTCCTCTCTCCTTCCTCTACTTTCCTTCCCTCTTTTCATCCATCTGTCCATCCACCACCTATACTCTACTGTCCGTATTACCTGCTACACAGCAGCCATTCATTTCTATCACTCTTTCCATCTGCTGTCTTCTCACCTCTCACCTCTATTTCTGTTGATCTCTCCCTCACTCCATCCCTCCTTGTAAGATACAATTTCTACCTACAAATATGTCTGGTCTGTCCAATCTCATAATCAGCATCCTCTTGTTCCCTTCTGGTTTGTCTCTCCATCCCTCTCTCCTCCATCTTTATGCTGTTTTCATCCCTCCATCCCCTGTTCCCCCGTTTTTGTTTTGAAGCCATGATGTTTCCAATGTTATGGAAGAGAAACCTGTAATTTCATTGGCATTTCCACATTCACGTACACCTCTCTCATCATTCTCACATCCCTTTACCATGCCCAAGTTCATTTTAGGATATTTGTTGCCATGGCAAGCAGGATGCTCGAATTAGATTTGGGTTATTTTGCCAACCGTGACTGAGTCCATTCCTCTGTAAGGCTATAACTGAGCCCTGGCAGCTTTTATTGGAGAGCCAAACGGAAGATGACAGGTGTGCACCAGGGACCTGTTAATGGGAATCCTTGACATTTAGAAATATACTTTGGTATTTTCCTTTTCCCAGTACACAGGGAGTGAAGTGCACATATTCGTTTTATCTCTATAGGCCCTGAAATGTCCCATTGTTATTCTTACGAGTAGTAGTATCATTAAAACCAATGGACATTGGTGGCTAATGAGTTGGCTGAACACAGTAACTTCAAAAAGGCTCTCTGTGCTGCCTTTTCTATGGGGAGTACCTGAAGATAACCCAAAAAAATTTGGGAATCTTGTGTTGAAACTAGTCTAATATGTATATTATACATTTTCTGATTATTAGTGTAACAGTAGTGACCAATTCTAAACCTGCCTGTTTGTTTGGCCTGTGGTAATGCTTGTTGCAGCTTTCTTTCTGAAACTGTAACAGTGACCTGCAGAAATTGATGTTAGGTAGAGACTTACTGTAGGACTCCTCTACACAAAGTGATTGTAAACCTGTTTATTCAAGTTCATTAATATCAAACATCTTCTGGGTCCAAATCGAAACAAATTTGACACTGCACTTTATTGGACCCTTAATGATAGTGAAGTTGATAAGATGAATGGTTCCTGGGATATGCAAGCCACAAACTGATAGAAAGATTTGTGGAATTATTATTACTATTATCATACCATATGTATACACCAGTCATACTGCTATCATTCCCTATATCAACCTTTTATATTGAAGTCATCAAATTTATGTCAGTTATTTTCCATCTATCAGGTAATTTATATTTCAACAGAAGGTTACATCAAAGTATTTCAAACACCAAAGACCTTTGTAAGTAATAGTAGGGAAGACCTTGTATAAAGTACAGTATGTTACTGAGTGAAGGCATTATTAGGGATGGCACTAGCTTTCGGGCTACCTGCTCTGATTACCATCTATCTCAAGGTTAATGGCTTATAGATGTACAGCTTTTATCTACTCAGATATTTTAACGCAACCTGAGTCACACTTTTGCTCTGTTCCATAATGCAGTGTGTGTGTGCGTGTGTGTGTGTGTTGTTTATATAGATTGAGAAGTGCCCTGTCAGCCAATGTGAAATCATTAGTTATACTAATTGGTTCCTCACTGTTGGGGTATCTCAATCCCTCATAGCTCTCTTGTCCTTTTTTTTCTTCCATTCATCTCATCTCCCTCTCTTCATGTCCTCCTATATTCTTCAAACCACTTGTGATTTGACATTTTCTCTCTGTCATCCTTCTCTCATCTATCTCCCACCCTCTCTCTCTCTTTCTCTCTCTCTCTCTCTCTCTCTCTCCTTTCTTCCCATTTCCCTCTGTATTGTTGCACTCAGCTATTTTCTACTCACATTTCCACTTCTTCTCTCCTCATTTCTAAAAAGGAGTACATGAAGAGTGGGGAGCCAACCCTCTGTCTGAGTATATGTGAGACAGAGAAAAGTAAGACAGCAGAGTTCTGTTAAACTTTGAAGAGTAAATAAAGATGCAGGTGAAGAAGTAAATAGAAAACAACATTTTGTAGTGATTCCCATTTGAAATGTAGCATGTATCAATCTGAGTATGAGAGATTAAGGCTGGAAATTTGTCCTAATGGAACCCATGGGACTACACTGACCATCCGCCCCCCTGACTTTCTGTGTATCTAACCAGTTACTGTATTCAATGTCCTACTCTCTACCAACCATTACGTTCATTATAGATTTAACTGCAGATTCTCATTCTGTCTGCAAAAGATTCCATTATTGTATCCTCCAATTGAAGGTATCATCTTGAAATGTCTTGTTTTGTCGGTCCTACAGTCCAAAAATTCAGAGTTCTAATTTATTCTCAGGTATAATGGATATACATATATATGTGTTCAACACTGCTGACCTAAATAATACCCAGAAAAACATATTTAAACAACCAAATGCATGGGTTTTCATCCAATAAGGATACAAACACCTAGAACCCCAGTACAGTTTCAGTTGGTGACATGGCCATACAGCCTCAAACATGGCCTTATTCTCATAAAGTCAGGGTGAGTTTAGTTCTTTGTGTCTTCTCCAGGGAATAAAGTCTATTTATATTGCAGGTGCTTTCTCAAAGTAAATTCAGATTATGTTGAGTGGGCACATGATCCAGCAAATCCTTTGGCATCCATACTAAAAACAAACTCCTTGACCCTGCAACTCAAACTTAAAATCTCCCAAGTAACTTGTATGCCCATTTGCATTGGAAATCATTCAAACCTGTTTGCAAGTTTTATCTAATGTTTTGTGTAAACTACAGTTGTGCATAAAGTCAAACACAGCAAAAATGACCGATATTATAACCTTGTTTGTGTTTTGATTTTTTTTTCTTTATTTCTTCCCCACACTCCTACTGATTATCTTGTTTTTAACATCACCTGTCTTGCCCTCTGCCTCATTTACTCCATCTCTGCCTCTTTATCAAAAGATTCCCGTTCTAAGTAGAAATTACTACTCTGTCTGTGTATTGTTTTTAATGACAATCCCAGTCGACCACAGAATATAGACACATCCCCTGCAGCAGTTTGCTCTCTCTTTCTCTGTACACACAACCCCGCTTTCTTTTCTTCTTTTTGAAAACATAACTTTCTTGCTGTCTTTATTTCTATTTATTATCTTTGGCAAGACATACATCCATGTGAACTCAGTTCCCTACAGCCATAATATCAACTTTTATGTATATCTATTTCATGTTTTATTTATAATTATATTATTTTGAAGTGTTGCTTTTGTTCTTTATCATTGCTTTTCATTATGCTTTCATGTTTTTAAATGATGTCTGTTTCATGTTTGCAGATCTTTCTAGATGCCAACACCATCAGACTGGGCAGCATCCCCCTTGGTAGTGCTGTGGACCCCCTGGAGGGGGCGCCTGCAGGTACCACCTACACTAAACAGACTGTCTACGAGCTGTGCGCCTGCGCTAATGGAAAGCTCTACCTGTCCCCAGCTGAGAAAGGCTCTACCTGCCAAACCACTAGTAACTTTTGTCTCTGGAGCTGAAAGTACGAAGCTAAAAGACGCCGAGGACATATGGACTATTAAAAGTTTGAAGCTAATGCTAGCCAACAGACAGAATCATCATGAATTATGGCTTTGTGGGATGCTAATGCCAGCCAAAAGGCCAAATCAACATGGATTGTAGCATGGTGAGGAGTTCATGTCCGTTAACCAACCAAATAATGTGGCTTATGGCTTGGCGGGAAGCTACTGCCTGCTAACAGACCAAATCAACTTGGACTGTAGCTTGCTGTGATGCTAATGCCAGCTAAAGGACTGAATCAACATGGACAAGAGCGGTGAGAAGCCACCTCACCGACAAAATTAATATGGATTGGTCAGTAGTTATTGCTAGTCAAGATGATGGATAACTCAGCAGGAGGAAAAGCCAACAAGATTAGCTCATGGGTTTGATGCTAAGACCACTCATGGTCATGGATGGACAGTCCCTCCAGGGCCCTCAGTGGCGGTTTCTGCCATTGTTGATTTTCTGAAAGTCACAGGGATTGCATTTGGGGGTTAAGAACAGCAAACTCTTACAAACAAAGTAAGTTTTGTGTTCACTGTTTGACCAAAATGTTCGGGAAAACATACTCCTGCTTTTGTCAGGATATGGTGATGGACTACAAACTTGCCAGCACGGACTGAACAAGTACTCTGGGCTAGAAGTCCTGCTTACCAGTTGGCTAACAGACATCATTGAGCCCTTTGGTTTCGCTCTGCAGGTAACTTACAATAAAATCAGTTGATGGTTTAGTCTTGAGGGAAGCTATGGCTAGCTTACGGACCAATCTATACCAGAAAGGCCTTCCCCCTCCTGCCCCTCTAGTCTTAAACCCAAATGTTGAAGTTTAACCTTTCCACATTTATCTGCACCTAGTAGTGACTATGTTCTCCAACCCTACTTTTCATTGGACAACTAATGCAAATACTTGTGCTTCAGCCTTGCGTTCACCAGCTTTCTCCCCATAAATTTCCAGATTCTCACAATTTTAATATATATTTTTTTTCTTTTAGATCTAATATTTTACTTGATACTTATCTTCTTTCTTCCCCTTCAGTGTCTCTGTAATCTTTAATCCTCAAATATTTTGCTTCTGTTCCCTGTTTCTTTTCTCTGGGCTCTGTCTTTTTTTTCTGTTTTTATGCACGTACTGACACTGGGCTGACAGAGAAAATGTTGTTCTGCCTATATCATCTTTCCTCCACCAGCCTGGGTAAGACAAATGAAAAACATACCGTCTGATTCCTTCCACTGGTCTAGATAAAACATGCATTCACAAATAATGACAGCTGTATCAGATGCCGGGTTTTCCCTCCCACATTGTCTGTTCCCAAAAATGTTGGGTTTCCCAGTATAGAAGCAAAGAGAATAATAAAGAGAAAAGGAAATTTGGTTCAGTCTAATTAAGCCTCGGGTGGGTGCTAAGGCTGAAAGACAATGTTATGGTGTGGAACCCTACCAATAGATAGGCAGAGTCAGTCAGCTGATTGCCAAAACTATTTTGGTGTTGTTATGGAGGAATTTACCTCTTCATCCCATGTTCTTTATCTGTCACACTTTCCCCACTCCTTGTGCATGGCTTTTCTGCTCTTCTTTCTTTTCCATCTTAGTCATGTCTTTTCCACCAACCAAATACCGTCACCATGGTGGTTGTCCATGAAGATCACAAACAGGATCACTGGCAGGGAGCAACCCTGGCAGAAGCTAGCACTAATAGGAAATGTGCTTGACTTCCTTCCAACAATAGAGACAAAGCCCTCATTGCAATTTATTTTAGGATCAGATAACTACCAGTAACTCAGTTAATTACATACTCCCATAGTGCCCCTAAAAAGCCCCCCTAAGGACACAGTTGTTAAGTCAAAAGGAGACTTGCTGGGCAACCTCACATGACCCCTCCAGTAAACTTACAAGGATGAAGTTGGTCCACTGTTCTATTGTTGGACTTTGGGATACGAGGCTCAACAATCCGACCACTGTAGCTGGAGGACAACCATTCTGAACCCACCTGCTGCTTCAGTAGATTCTCAGTCCAATCATTTCCAATAGGCTTCCCTCTGTCCTTCCTTTGTTCCTTCTATAACTACCATGACAGCATCCTTCAACATTCTGTTTGCAACTCTCTGCAGCCAATTCCACAAGGGAGACTTTGAACTCAGTTTGCATGCCACAGCCTCTTCTTAAATGCCTGAAACGTTCTTCCAGAGGTGGGAGTTGAGGACCTTGCCAAGAGAAGCTTCGGCCAGGTGTTCCCAGGTCTGTCCAACAGCCTCTCACACCATCCAATCCAGTTCACCACCACAAGACAAGACATACAATAATCAAATAATTCCAGGTTGATCATCAGTCCTAGCCCTATAATGTTCTGGTATTAGATCAGAACAATTAAAACCATTATATGCCCAAATGTACTGTTTGTCATGGCCAATGCATCATAAGCACTTAAGTCCATCAATTAATTACCACTCAGGTTCAGATAAGACAGACCATTCCTCTCAATCATCTTTTCATAGTTGCCCACATTAGCGATGAAGTCTCCGAAGCAGACTATGGAGTTCCCAGGTGGTGCCCTTTTCAGGATCCTACCAAGAGACTCCAAGAAGTCTGGATATGTCAAACTGCTGTTAGGTGCATAAGCAGAAACAGTCAGTCCTTGCTCTCATCAGCTTGCACTCAAATGGGTTCCACTCTCATCCAACACAGGTAACCCCCTTCTACCCCCCACCACCACCAGCATCACACACAGCTCCCATCGGGACAAACAAACCTCTCCACTATATTAAGGTGGTGGTCTTAATTGGTCTGAATGTTCTCAAGCTGGCTAACCTAGCACCCAACCTCTGCAATGGCTGAAAAAAGCAAATTTATGTGTCAGAAATCTCCCTGGTAGACATTATAGATGGATGTGGTTGTATGTGTATGGACTCCACTGAATTAAGGCCCTGAGGCTTACTTTCATTTCTAAAAAGAAGCGATACACAGGTGCCTTTGCTGCTGTTGGTAAAAGCACATCACAGTCTGAACGTTCACACTCCCAAGTGTCTGGACAAACTATCTATTTATCAATCTACCTATCTATTTAGTTTTCTGTCTTTTCCCTCCCCTGTTCTCCTGGTTTTGTAGAGTTCTCAGTATATCCAGCTGAAAAAAGAACAATTCAATCCTGGTTTAAAGTTTAATTTTCTGATGTGTTCCCTATGGTTTTATTCTTGATAATAAAAAAAGCACAAATTATGCCATGTATATAACAATACCAATAAAATACAAAATAAAATAATATTGTTTTTCAAAAGAATCTGCAGTATTCTGTTTTGTAAAAAAAAAAAAGAATCTGACTTTAAACCCTCCTGCTCCACAGTATTTCACACAGTTCCCTTTAGTTGGCTTTACAGGTGAACAGGTAATAATTCACAGAACATACTTTCTTATAATGTCTGTTTTCATAAACATTCGTATGATCTCTAAGTTGAAGTTTGTTTGTGATTTTCTGTGTAATGACACTGACATGAACAAAGTTAAAATTGTTACTTTGTCTCTGCACTTGTGTGAGATACAGGCCACAGCATTTTACTTGTTTGTACTGTACTGTTACTGCATTTTACTTATTATTGAAGTCCTGAAGTTTCTCTCATCACCCCCTACCATTTAATATCCTCTATCTCCCACACACAACAGAATCCCATTAAAGCATTCTGTATGGTATTTTTGGTGTTTGGAAGCTGAATAATCTACTGTATAAATTTTTATCATTTTGTTTATGTTTTTCTCATTTTGTATCTGATGTTCTCAATTTTCTGTAATCTTTCTTTCTGTGAATCTTCTGAACACACACAACCATAACCAAATCCATATCAGAATGCTGCTCAAAGGCCTGCACTTTATTTTAATGTCACTTCATATGTGTCCATTGAACCAAAGGCCTGTTGACAGTAATGGAGTAACTCTATGAAAGTGAGGTGTATTTCCCTGAGCTCAACACTTATCCACACTTCATTTCACATTATTTTATTTTATAGTGCTCCATCTCATTTTTCTCATCTCATCGTTTGCTTCTACTATTTAAAACAATTGGTAGGTTTCATGTGTTTACAGTATATGGAAGAAATGCATGTTTCTGGGGTTTTTTTAACATCAACTGATGCTCCACAGAATGTGCAGCTGCATCATGATTCAAGAGGAGAATGACATCGAGAGAGCTAAATGCTTGCGAGCTAGTTCAGGTAGCCAACTTGAGCTGCGCTGCTCCGATCATTTGATATACATCACTCTCCACAATCCTTTATGATTCACACCCTCCCAAAAGCTGCAAACATTTCCCATCCCTTTCTTTGCTTACCCCGGCTGCTGCTGTGTCAGTTTGCTGCCAGTGTTTCAGCCCCTCCATCACACTAGCATCCACCTGTAAAGGCTCTGACTGGGGGGTTATAAGTATTTAATGAAGTGGAAGCCTGGACATCAAACTCTAACATGTTCTGCTGCAATAAACATTTCAGTCGTGGGTTGTCTGACTGAACAATAGATAGCTTTTAACTTGGGTCACTGTGGGTTCTAAACACAAATATAAGTAGTTGCCCCATTATTTGACCAAAAGTGATTCTTGTCTACTAACTTAAGTAATTTGGCGTCCAGAGTTGCAATTCTTAAAACAAATGAAAAAAGAAAAACTACTTGAAATATCTTGGAAGGTTTTTGTTGCAAAACCATGGAGAGCAAATGACTCAACCTCTTTTGTGAGTTGGTAAGCAACGTTGGTATGTAGCACTGTGGATATTGAACATATAATTGTTGAAGATATGAAACCTCTTTGAGTTTTTTTTATTTTAAAAGCCACTTGAGCAGCAGGGTAGTTTTTAGTGAGAAGGTCACTAGTGAGATATGAGTTTGACAGCTCTTTAACATTCCTTGTCCTTACTATAGTCTCTTTGTTGTCCTATATGTATATTAATGCCAGTTCACGTTATTTATTTTGTGGTTTTCAGTACAATGCTGTGAAAAGCAGTTGTCATGGAACATCCAGAATCACATGGAGCTCAGCAGAGCTGCTTTAATCTCCATTTCATTGCTCTGGAGGCAGACAATACAATTAATTAATTATGATAATCATCATTAGAATGATTTGACTCACTCACACTGGCTGTTAGAGGTTTCAACCGTGTAATAAGTGAACATTTAAATCTTGTGTTTAGGGAAAATTCGTAAAAAAATTAAAACTGAAACTGTGAAAAAATGGGGGGGGGTGAAATCTCCACTCTCTTTTGACTGATATATATCGTGGAGGCGTCACCAACATCATCTGCACATTGACAAGTTGTCAGAGGAATCCAGCAACATGATCAAAATGCTGTGTGCTCTGAGCACCTCCCTGAGAATAATACCAGGGATTGAGACAGCTCGTCAAGTGTTTGAGAAGGACATGTCAGAAGAGGAAGATTGTGGAAATCAATTCTGAGCATGAAAGTAAATTGGAAGAAGAAGGGAAGGACTCAGTGCTAGAACAATGAAGAGCATCACAACCAGAGTAATGGGGGAAATATATTATGAAATATATGACCAGGTCTAGTCAGAGTCGGTGGCCTTCATCCAAGACAAACAAGGGAGGAAATACAATACAGATATTTTGTAACTGAAATGCACAAACGATTCTTGATGATCTGCACCACATGACATTTGTAAAGCTTGTAAAAATGGTTTAAACAGGGTAAATGAAAAATTTTTGTTTGGTGAAAAACATCTGAAATATTTTCATATGTAGCAGAGCTAAATTTCCACTCACATAGGCCACACAAATGTCTCTTTGTGGTTCTTCATTCTGAAAAGTACAAATGGTGTACAGTTGAAATACAAAGTAAATATTAAAAGCTGCAGTGTCTGCAGAGTGAACATAAACTCTCCCTTCAATGTTGTCACCTTCACAGAGCTCTCCATTTTTCTTTTCCATAGTGAATCAT